GCACTCTGACTATGAGACCCCATAAATGAAAAATCGCCTGTTCCGTGCCAGCTTCGTTCCGCTTCTCAAAATAGTCCGCAAAATTGCAAAAAAAAAAAAATTCCCAACAAACAGGAAATACAAAATGAACCTCTTTACCAGCTGGATTTTGCCCCTTCTCCTACGGAAAAGTCGGTTGCTACTATTCCGGCGTTCCAGAACAGCTTGATGCTTCCCAAAATGAATACACGTTTCCTCTGACGTATCGAAAATGTCGAATTCTTCTCTTAACTACTGTCTTCGACGAAAGTTAATCAGGCTCCCGTTTCTGAAGAACACACGCGCTGCCACCAAATTGTTGTGTGAGGTAGAATGGACGAGTACAATGGACTCAAACTTCAGTGTTAAGATACTCGAATTTACTTTATTTCTTACTCAAAGTGTAACGGTAAAAATACAAAAGAATTAAGATTAATTCCCAAATGAACTACATTGGTAATGACTCCCGAGTGCAGTGTGTTCTCGGTTTTTATAAGAAAACTGTGACACACATTTATCTCTTTTTCGTTGTATTCGTATTACAAAAGGATCCCGTGGTGTAATACGATGCTGAATCGGTAAACAATCGATAAACAGTTCATTTCATAATTATTAAACACGAATCACTTCGTAATTCGGTCATGGAATATTCTGGATTACAACAGAACCTTTTCTACGAAAAGAAGTTTTTTTATGACGACATCGGAATTAAAGTGAAATCAAAATAAATAAAATTTTAGTTCGCAAAAATTCGGAATATGAACCTTTTAAGGTTAAAATCAAAATTTTAATTGTGGAAAATTTAGAAAATACAGGGTTTAAGATGTACCAATTGGAAGCGCGTATTTTACCGCGATGGAGTGAGTAGAGAGGGGAGTAAGCATATGACAACAGCGCATCTAGTTATGGAGAAGCTAGTGACGTGAAGGCAGTTGCGGTATTGTCAATATTACTAGACGATGGAGGGATGTTTCCATGTATCCTCAATCAGTGATTGAGTCATTGGTTAGGCAGTATGCAGATTGGAATGACACCGAATTTTGAATGGTTTTTTGAACCCGAAAAAATGAAGATCGAATGTGAATCCCCCGCTGATGAATCTAATGCATCCAATGCGCAATAAATAATAATGAATTGATGTTTGAGTTGAAAATTAATTAGAGGCAAAAGTCCAGATCAACTCTTGACGATAGGACTCGAAATAATGGTCACAGAATAAGGGTCAGGATGAGTGTCATGATAAGGGTAGGCATGGGAGTCAAAGTAAGAGTAGCAATGAGGGCCAGATTATGGGTCCCAATAAGGGTCAGAATAAGCGTCAGTATGGGGGGCGAAATAAGGGTCGGTATGAGGGCCAAAATGAGAGTGGGTATAAGGGCCAAAATAGGGGTTTGAATAAGGGCCAAAATGAATGTTGAAATAAGAGCCAAAGTGAGAGTCAAAAGGTGAGAGTGAGGGCCAAAGTAGGGGGGGGTATAAGAATCAAAATAAGGGCCAAAATAGGGATTGGTATGAGTGCCAAAATGAGTGTTGAAATAAGGGCCAAAATCAGTGTCATTATGAGGGCCAAAATGAGGGGCAGAATAAAGGTCAGAATAAAGGTCAAAATAAGAGCGAAAGTGAGAGTCAGAATAAGGGTCAGAATAAGGGCCACAATAAGGGCTCGTATAAGGGCCAAAATGAGGGTTAGAATAAGTGCCAAAATAAGGGTCAGTATGAGGGCTAAAATGGGGGTCGGTTTAAGGGCCACAATAAGGGTCAAAATCGGGATCAGAATAAGGGTTGGAATAAGGGTCTGTATGAGGGCCGAAACGGAGGTCGGTATAAGGGCCAAAATAGGGGTCAGAATAAGGGCCAAAATAAGGGTCAGAATGTGGGCCAAAATAGGGGTCAAAATAGGGATTGAAATAAGTGCCAAAATGAGGGCCACTATGAGGGCCTAAATGAGGATCAGAATAAGCGCCAAAATAAGGGTTGCAATAAGGGTCTGTATGAGGGCCAAAATAGGGGTCGTTATAAGGGCCAAAATGAGGGTCAGAATAAGTGTCAAAATAAGGGTCGGTATAAGGGCCAACATTATAGTCAAAATAGGGGCCAAAATGGGGGTCAGAATAAGGGCCAAAATGGGGTTCGGTATCAGGGTTAAAGTAGGGGTCGGTAAAAGGGTCAACATAGAGGTGGGTAGGAGGGCCAAAATGGGGGTCAGTATCAGGGCCAAATGAGTGACGGAATAACGGTCAACATGAGGGCCGGAATAAGGTCCAAAATTGAAGTTAAAATCAGAGCTACCATTAACGTCGGTATAAGGGTCAAAGTTAGGGTCAGAATAGGGGCTGCAATAAAGGTAAAAATAAGGGTCTGTATGAGGGTCAAAATGGGCGTTGGTATAAGGGCCAAAATGAGTGTCCAAATACGGGCCAAAATGAGGGGCATAATAAGGGTCAGTTAAGGATCAGAATAATGGTCAGAAATGAGAGTCTGAATTGTAGAAACTTGGGGTCAGAATCAAATCGCTCCCTTTCACATACAGTGTGTCCCAAAAAGGCATGTCATTCTCCTCAGGGGAGTTCGGGGGGCTCATATGGAGATGAAGACCCCAATGGCATTGCTCTCTCCCGCTTTGTTCAATAGCTTTTGACAAAAATGAAGGAGTCAAGAAATCTCAACGTATTGCAGGTCTTGACGGTTCCCGATGAAATGTGACATTATGAGATTCTTTACATTTTTCTTTCCGAATGGAAGCATTGTAATCGTTCAAATTTAAGTTTTGGATTTTTTGTTTTATATGAACCTGTTATTATCCTGAAAGTCCGAAATTTGGTACATTTCGACAATAGGCCGTGAGGAACTAATGTCGAATTGAAATGAATTTCTTCCTTCGTTTCTCATCTCGCCTCTCGTTTCTCTCGTTCTGGACCAAATTTTCATATCTATCGTTTCGTTTTTCGTGTCTCACCTCGGTATTGGTGAGCCCTAGCCATCGCCATTAATAAAAATTCAGTCCATTGAATCATTTCTATAATTTTTTAATTTTTCCAAAAATCAGATGTATCATGATAACTATTTACACAGTAGAATGAACACTAGCACATCGTCGTATTCACTGTCGATTCCTGCAATGAAAAAATCAATGGAGATTAATTCTGAATCTGATCATTTTTGGAACTAGTTGGATTTTTCGGAGATATTAACAAATCTATTTTGCAGCCTTAACAATTCCCAACAGAAAAAGTTCTCTCGCATTTCTCTCCAGAAATATCCCTTAACATACAAAAAAATTTTACAGAAGAAATGAAGCGAATATGCCAGAACAGTCTATTGGATTCCCATTGAAGTGCTTTTGAAAATTATATGAATTTTTCGTTAATTCCATTCAGTAATTCTACAGCTAGACTGCCGGTTTTTTTATGAGAAGGGTTCAGAAACTACTTCGTATAACAAAAACAGTAGCTGATTTTGTCATCAAGAATTTTTCTATAGAAATGTTTCGACATGAATTCTCCAACCTTTCTTTACCCGTTTTTCCTCTTTTCATCAAAAAATTTCAACAACAAAAATTAGGAAATTTAAAGTCAGTAATTCTCGTACACAATATCTCAATCGAATAAGTTGTATGGAAGAATCAAATTGTAAAGATTTTCCATATAAAAAATTTCTGATTGAATTTGTCATTGTGAAACAAACACCCAAGGAAACTTGAAAATTTTTCAATACAATTGGAGGAAATCAATGGAATTTTCGATATAAGTTAAAAAGAAATGGTAAAAAAAATCAGGCGAATTCACTGAATTTTTCCATGAATTTTTTAGTGCGTATTTCTAAGATATTGAATGACAATTGACAAAATATTTATTTTCTTGTTATGTCCAGAGAAAGATTTTAACGTCGAATGGACATGTTTTAATTGTCACATTAAAATCAAAGCTAAAATTATTGAAATTTATAATTATTGGACGACGCAAAGTTTTATACTCTTACCTTTTTTTTAAATATAAGGGAAAAAGGGCTTGATTTAGGGATAGGGCTTGAATTGAGACGAATTTCTAATCAAGACTTTTGGAGTTATAATGGGAATCAAATTTGAATTTAAATATATTTTGTATAACTACTCGGTTTACAAAAACATAAGCGTGATTTTACAGAAATCTAGGTAGCTAAAATTCCTATCCCTGGAATGATCTGAAGGATTCAAATTTGGGTTTACAAATTTTGTTACTCACAAGTCGGTCTGTTATTTATAAATTATTCGATGTATTTGTAGATCCCTGGGTAAATCCGTAATTTCCTCACCAGCAATTAGTCGCGCTAAAGGCGTGGATTCACCTATTATGGATACTTTCACGGAAACACTTTCTTCTACTCGTTGATATTTTAATGAATTTTTGGCAGTTGAAGTTGAAGATTTTAAGAGTTTGGTTGAGACTGTCCACAACGCGTCACAATAAACGAATTCCTTATTTGCAAGAAAAGTCACCACTCTCGGTTAAAGAAATTTTATTCCCGGATAATTTCAATTGTTCGTAACTTACTATTAACTCAGTACTATCCCGTGTAATCGAAGGAAGGATTGAAAAACCGGACCGATTAAATGAACTATTTCCACCAGAATTGTTACTGCTCCGTCGCTGCTTCAAGACTGCTTAATTTTGGTTTTTCTGACATTTTTATATGAATTTTGGGGTCACTTGGCACATGGGCTCCAACGAGTCCATTTTTAATTGGTGGAAAATGTCGTATGATTTTTCCCACTCTTTTGATTTTTATGGGGAAGTAGTTCATTCGGTTTTTGAGGTTTCAATTAATCGGTTTTCAATCGTTCCTTCGCGTGCGAATGTTAGTATTGGGTAATTAAGGCATGCTGAGTGTGCCATTTCATCACTTTTGAACTCGATTCCAATGTCTTTGGAATTTTTAATCGAGTTCAAGTGATGAAATGCACTCAAGTTAGTTTACAATTGTTGGTTTGGTTCTTAATGATTTCACATAAAATTATTCTAGTCTTAAAGTTTCTAGTACAAAATTTTGGATATTACATTCTATTTTTATATCTTACACGGAACGAAATCAATCGGAAATACTCTTGCGATCGCAAGACTTTCTGATGGATTTCTTTCTATGTATGATTGAACAAATTTCATTACATTCATTACATTCATTGATTTTATCATTAATATGTGGCTTTTGCATATTCTCATACGAGGAAGTGATTTTTCAGTAGAATGATAACGATGATATGCGAACCACTCTGTAATTCAGAACGAAATATTTTTTATTCAATTTTGTGTATGAATTCAAACATATTCAACACAACGTTTAGTTTTCAATTATGTTAGTAGTCGTTGATCTCATTCAAGTAGTCTTTAATTTTTTCCTGATTCGTCTTCATATCATTCGTCATCTTCTCCAAGTCGTTCAATTTCTGCCAGATCCTGCGGCATCTGCCGTTGGTGTTCTCCAGCACAGAGTGCACTCTAGAATTGCATGCACTGGTGTCTTCACCTGGAAAGAAATTGCCAAGTTTTCATTATTGATTTTTACTGATTTATCTGTCAATCGGTGAAATTTCGAGTAGTTATTATACAATCGTCAGAATAAAGATAAGTTAATACTCAATTATTTGGATTGAAGAATTCTTAATCTATTCTGGATTCGCATTTTTCCGTCAAATTTTTTGGCAACATTCGTAATTGAATAGATTTTTTTGCTTCAGGCGACTCTAGGTCAGAAAATATCTTACAATGATTTTATCATTGCAACTCTTGAGGTATAAGTTTAATTCTTCACTTCATACCATTGGTAAACTTGTTATAAAAAAATAAAAATATGAAACCTAGTTTTGTATGAAGATTGATTAAATAAATGAGAACTAAAATTCTCCAAAATTACGAACTTCTTTTTTTGACATAACTATACTGTGATATTTATGGATAAATTGGTTGGGGTAATTAGTCATAAACAGCTCAGATGGATGTAATTAACAACGATAATATATTCTTGTAACTTGATGCGTGTCATTAGGACGCTGGCTCAATACAGAGAGAGAGACCCGATGAAGTAGGAGGTCATCGGTAAAATAGGAATGTCTAAATATAGAGTTCCACTCGATCATAAAGATACTGCAATTCCTCCCACCTTATTCAGAAATATTTTAAAACATTTATCACATTTGATATAGAATACCATCATTTATAAATTCAGTCTATTAACAGGTTTTCTAATACGATCGGATCGTCTAACTGGGGTTACAGTCGAAGCAGTTGTAACGATGTTGGGTGCTGGTGTGATGACGTTCGATGGTATCACTGGATGCTGAAATTCTGTTGTTGTTGTGGGAATCGTGGTTGACGTAGTTGGAGGTTGTCCATGGATCTCAGTGATCCCTACGGCTTGTTGACTCATTGATATTGTATCAGTTGAACAGTTAGAAAGTGAGGCCATGAGTACTGGATCCCTGCTATGTACTTCAGGTGGCTCTTGGCTCTCTGGAGTTACTTCAGTGACCGAAGTACCAGGAACCAACTCGTCCATTAGATTTCTCGTACTAGTTTTTGACTTACTAGCGCACCCACTCAGCAGACATGACTTAAGTTGATCCAAATACGTTTCCAAGATCTTCCGTCAATCGTTTTAACTGTATAAGTAACTGGGGATAATTTATCCGTTACTGTAGCTTGGACCCATCTATTATTATTTGCATTCTTAGCCATCACTATGTCACCATAATTCAAGTTGCAATTTCGATTGCCAACTGCATTCTCACGTTGTTTAAACTGTTTACGTAGCACATGTCCACGTAGATTTGGTCTGATTAAATCAATTTTAGTCCGCATCGATCGTCCAAATTGTAATTCGGCAGGTGAACATCCGGTAGTGCAATGAGGGAATGCCCGGTAGTGCATCAGAAATCGAGATGAAGCCTCGTCCTTGTTGAGACCCTCTTTCAAGAGTAACTTCATTTTAGTTTTGAATGTCTTGACAGCGTTTTCAGCCGCACCATTAGATGATGGGTGGTAGGGAGCTGTTTTCACATGGAGTATTCCTCTCTTCTCCATGAAGGACTCGAACTCAGCAGACACCAAACTGGGACCATTGTCACTGACAATAATTTCTGGATAACCCCAGGTGCGAAAATATTCCTCTAGAGCATTCATGGTAGTCTTTGATGTGATGTTATTCATTTCTCTAACATCCATCCATTTCGAATATGCATCAATAATTAGAAAATACATTTTCCCCTCCAGTGGACCCAAGAAATCAATATGTAACCTTTGATTCGGGCCTTCTGGCCATTTCCAACTGTGAGGAACACTTCTCGGTGGATCGCTGGAATTCTCCAAACACAATTTACATGTTTTTGAGACTTTTTCGATATCAGCATCCAAATTGGGCCACCACAAGTATGAGTGTGCCAGAGACTTCATCTTCGTAATTCCTATGTGACTGCTGTGAAGTTCTCGCAGAATCATCCCTCTCAATGACATCGGAACAATCACTCTGTAACCCCACATAAGACAACCACGTTCAATAGTTAATTCATACTCTTTACGTTTAAAAATCTCAAGGTGATCACTCACTAGTTTCGGCCAACCAAACTTAACATACTCACATACTTTTGACAACAAACTATCACTTTCAGTTTCAGATTTAATTAGATTACAATCAACTGTTTTAATGTCTGACTCAATATAATTTAAATATGTGAATTCATCTGATACTCTTTCCTCTTCACTTAATCTAAGCATTCTTGATAAACAGTCTGCACTAACATTATCTTTTCCTTTGATATGCTCGAGATTAAAATCATAAGCAGAGAGAAATACTGCCCACCGTTGGAGTCGACTTGCAGCAAATACAGGCAAGCCTCTTTTAGGGCCAAAAATAAATTTGAGCGGTTTATGATCAGTTTCAAGGAGAAACTGTCTGCCAAAAATGTATTGATGGAATGATTTAACTGCAAAAACTATTCCCAATGCTTCTCGATCCAACTGTGCATAGTTTTGCTCTGCTTTTGTCAACGTTCGAGAATTAAAAGAAACTGGTTTGACTACGTTATTAGGCAAAACATGTGACAGGACTGCACCAACACCATATGGTGATGCGTCACAAGTTACTTTAATTGGAAATTCTGGATTATAATGTGTCAAAACTTCACTTGACACCAATCTCTTTTTAATCTCGACAAATGCTTCACTACATCTTTTCGACCATGTCCATCTAACATCTTTCCTTAATAACGTATAAAGTGTGTGACGAGGCATATTCATTCATTTTTTATTATTTTTCTACATATTTTTTCCCACTACACACTGGCCCCTAAAAGGTAAATTCCGCCACTGTTGGATACCCCTTCCCTCGATTTTCCCCTCATCGCCCCTCTACTCCCGCCACTGGACATCACGAAGACATCAGCCGAAGAAAGACAACAGTTCCGGCCCTACTGGATCAACTGAAGGAGCCGTTGCTCTCCTCACAAACCACCCATACATGGGCCTCGGCAACCCACCGCCCTCGAAGATCCCCAGCGAGACATCCCTGGATTGTGGTCATCGTCACCACTCACCCGTGCTAATTGGCCCGATTGCTCCCGAATTAAAACCCGAAGGACTTCGACACTTGACGAACCCCCACGAATCGCGGAGGAAAAGGAAAGACTCGTCACTCGTGTAACCGCTGTCCTGGACACTGCCACGTGCGCCCCAAGTCAAGTGAATATAAAGTGGACATACCCCGAAGTCGGTACATTGGATTTTGTTCGAATAAAGAGGATTTTTGGTGCCCGAGCTCATCCCGGCTCTAAGTACGGTGCCCCTGGAGTCTAGAAGGAGGAACGAAGGCTCAATCGCAGGAGTCGCTGAAGTACCTGGATTAGCCCTTAACTGGAAGTCGTGAGTACGAGTTGTCCCCCTCATT